AAGCTAATTTTTACATGTTCTTCATCCTACGAATGACCGTATAAAGCCGGATGGTTTTGGCCAGAATTTCCAACTGACATCCAATAACACACTGGCTTTCGCATAAAAAAGTAGAGAAAAGTGTGAATTTGTTCGCTTGACTGAAGAAGGCCGGGAATTCTGACCAAAACATCGTCCTACCTGAACAGAACTGTACGTGAGAGTCTAGACTGGTAATCTGCTATCTGCTCGCTAATCCGTTATTCAGTCCAAGGCGGTACCCGATTTATATCTGCAACCTCCTAATAACCAGTTATTGCGTTTGGCCTGTATGTCAAGTTAGCAGTGAGTTATGAATCAATGCACAGGATCGGGAACACTGGAAGCACTGTAACCAGTCTGCCTCAGCGACCCGAAAAGAGAAGTGGTTTTGAAAGATAATGAAGTTATCAATCAAAGCGGCTTGCCAAAAACTGTTTCGAGATCCAGGGCTTTCACAAGTGAAAAATCTTCTGTACTTGCTGGGATTCGTGTAAAACTCTATCAGAGTACGAAAGCAGTCCATCTAATGCAGTCATATAATGAACAATGAGAGTGGCCATTTAACGAATATTTTCAACTTCGTGAACAAAAGAAGGACATGTTGAAAAGTCAGAAATAAAATTTATCTACTTGTCACATTGAGACAACGAAGAATGGCATCGACAGTGGCACAAAACAATCGCAGTAAGACACTTTCATCGTTTCGATTGACCGAATGTGTTAAACGAGAGTGAATGTAGCTTGCGTCCATGATTTGCATTATGGTGAATTAGCCAGAATGGAATACCTAGGATTTTAGAAGCTGAAATCCATCTTTTATTAGTAACTTGAAACTGAGATAGATGCATGCATTGTTATTGTCGACACGAACTCATTTCATTACAGTGAAGTATTTCAGCCTCTACCCTGTTATTTTAGAATGACAAGAAAAAAGCTTAAAAGTTATTTGAGAAACTGGTTAATTAGCGCAGTCCAAAATGTTATGCAAAAAATAGGCCATTCATTCTGTGCATCAATATGTCACTAAAAGCCGTTGGTTAAAATCTTCGTTATACAGCGGTAGGAAGTTTACGGAAATCCGAGCTAGACGGGGTCCCTTCAAGTACGAAAGGCCCAGTTGCCTATCTGCTTTCGCTTAGCTGGCTTGATTGATCGCTCATTGTCAGCCTGACATATGGGTCAAGCAATGCATGATCAAACTGCAATAACTGGCGATTACGCGGTCACGTGGAAAGTTTACCGCTTTGGGCTAAACAGCAAATCAGTATTGGTCCATATCGTTATGGATGAATTACCACTGCGGACGATAACGTATTCTAAGCAAAATTCGGATCCGTGTTCACTTTTAGTCATTGTAGGATTATTTTATTTAATATTCAAGATCAGAACAGATATGCATTCAAAACAGACCAGGAGTATAAACAATGAAATCAACAACACGTTTAAGCATTTACCTTGTCATGAAACAGGATATCAAGTGATCTCAATAATTTTCCATTTTTGTTATGCCTTAGCCTAAATGACCAATTAAAACAGTTGTCGTCTATAAGCCACGCCCAAATTTTAGCTACACTAAATCAGCGGCTAACCAGGCAGCTGTCTCAACACGACGTGATCAACTTTGGCATGGTAGATAGTGGCTGTGAGATAAGACGGTTTTAGCACGACGAGACATTAATAAAGGCCGTACGAAAGTCGTTATATCGTTACATACGGAAGTGTGCCAAAAGCGAGGAAGCATGGCGATGTCACCAATAAAACCCGTTCGTTTGGTTATCGATTGTGATACTGCCGGTGATGACTGTGTTTCCCTGCTGATTGCCTGTCTGCATCCTAATATTCAGTTGGAAGCGGTGACAGTGTGTGCCGGAAATGTGGCTTTTGACCAAGAGATAATCAACACGCTGTACACGTTGGAAAGAAGTGGCGTTGGAGCTCAAGTTCCAGTGTATGCAGGCTGTCGAAAGCCACTGCTGCGAGAATGGCAATCAGCATCCTTCGTCCATGGAGAAGATGGCATGGGTAACAGCAATTTCCCTTTACCGAAGGGCAAACCTGCATCTGGACATGCCGTCGATGCTCTGGTGGATATCGTCAAAAAAGCACCTGGAGAAATCACAATTCTGGCTCAAGCTCCGTTGACTAATATCGCTCTAGCGGCATTTCTGCATCCGGAGTTTGTCAGCCTGATAAAGGATTTGTACATAATGGGTGGTACCTTCTATTGTCAGGGCAACATGACTCCGGCCGCTGAATACAACTTCTTTATTGACCCGGAAGCGGCGAAGATGGTGTTTTCGGCCGGCTTCCGCAAGATCCACGTCTTCGACTGGGGAGTCAGTAACCGATGCTGCTATTTCAGCCCCACAGAGTTACAACAGGTAAAAGCGTTAGGCACTGACCTGTCGCGCTTCTTCAGTGACATCATCCGTACTAATCTGCAGTTCAATGAGCACCATGGCCGCAGTGGCTACGTAGCCACCGATTCAGCGGTGACGGCGCTGATTGCCGAGCCTGGCCTGAGCCGCGGATGGACCCCTTGCCACGTCGACATCGAAACCAACAGTGCAATGAACCGTGGAGCTTGTATCGTTAGTCGACCGGTC